GTAAGTTATGTTTACTGTGCAAAGATTAGATCTGCCTGTGCCATGTGGATTCAGTGAGTCAAGGAAAGAAACACTGACCATCCATTCATATCTCCATGACTTAACAAGTCAGTCAGAACTTACAGATCTCTGGTTTTGTTTCAAATCAGAATTTTCTACATTTTGTTATTTTATTAAGCAAATATATCTTTCATTCTTAGAATGCCCCTAATTTGCCTCTGAAGCTCAAGAATATTGAACTGTTTGAATGGATCCTTTCAGAGCATGAGCTGGGTGAATTTCCAGTAGTAATTTTTAAAAGACTGCAAAAATAATTTTAAAAATTGAATATAATAGTCCTCTGCTACCCACCACTTGGTATCAGTCATTGAGAATTCAAATGATATGGTGTAATTTAGACTGTAAAACTGTTTTTTCAGATAGGCAAATTTTCATGAACATTCCTTGCAAAAATTTATCATCTGAGTTCCTTTTTTCCTTCACTTTTAACTCTCCACATCTTTTAGCCCCTCTAAATAATGTTTTCCAGGCAGACATTTTAGAGAAGAATTGACAATTTCACTTCCTATGAATGAAGCTAAAAATTTACAGTGGGAAGGCAGTGATTGGTGTTTTGTTCTACTTTGCTACTGCTGTAGAATGGAGTTGCAGGACAATTGTGACGTTCCATGATTTTTCCCCAAAACGGAATGGCATCTTCTCTGGAATTCTCATGTCACCAGCACAAATTTACATTGACTCTCTGTTTATCTCCCCTTGCCTGGGTGAGACTAATTATTTCTGGTGTTTCAAACAATTCTCCACACTACCATTACAAATATTAGCATAGTGCCCAGTATAAAACTATCTTCCAAAACAAAACCCCCAAAATTACATAACTATTTCTACTTAACTCCTCTCTAGTGAAAAAAAACTTGCAGTTTTATGAAGTTCCAGAAATGTAAATAATTAAGATTCATATCTTCCTTGTGTTGATACACATCATAATAAACTGTTCATGCTGCGTTTCTATTTAGAATGCTCTTCTAAATAACTTAAAAGACCCTAAATCACTTTTTTGGGTGTAAAATATGAGAAATAATGAAAAACTATTGAAATTTTTTATTCACTTGAATAATGTCTGTTTAAGGTACAAAAATGAAACTGTACAATAGGTGGTTATAGGAAAAGTATAGAATTAGGAACTAATAATTCTGATTTTTAGACACAGCTCTGGCAATAACTAGAATGTGACCTTGGGCAACTCGGTTACACTCTTTGGAACTCCATTTCTTCCCTGTAAAATGAATATATCAAATTAGTTCCTTGCTAAGAATACTTCTAGCTTTAATATTCTATGTTGCAGGGGTACTGTGTCCATGTAAAAATAGAAACAAGACAAAATAACTTCATATAAAAACATAATTTAAAAGTACCATGAATTAGGGCCGGCCCGCTGGCGCACTGCTACAGTGCGCCGCTTGGGAGCGCGGCGGCGCTCCCGCCGAGGTTTCGGATCCCACATACAGACCGGTTCCCGCTCACTGGCTGAGCGAGGTGTGGGCGCAACACCGAGGGTTGCGATCCCGTTGCCGGTCCGGTCCCGTAAGGGCATGACACTGAGGGTTGCGATCCGTTGCCGGACATGAAAAAAGACAAAAAGGAAAAAATATACCAAATTAAAGCAAGAAGAAATTGTTAATATATAAACAAACAACTTGTACTGGACTGATTTATGTCCCCCCGAAATTCACTTAAACTTGAATTCTGTCTCCCAAGTTTATGTATTAGAATTGTAGCCCCCACTGTGACTGTTAAGAGGGTGGGAAATCCTATTAGGGTAATTGAAAGGTGGAGCCTTAAAGAGGTGATTGGATCATAGGACCGAAATAGCTTCATATTCCTTTTAAAGATAAACGTTAAATGTTATCTTCAAGCATAAATAAAAGCTGATTTTTATTACCTTTATAAGCATTTAAAGTGTCACAAAAGAAAATTTATCCCACAAAGTGACAATTTACTTGCTGTTGTATACACCTAAAGTCTAAAGTGAGGTTAATAAAAATTGTTCCTATTCAGAAGGCTTAACGATCCTGAGCATCCTTTCACCAAGCTTTAAAATCCCTTTTTCTCTTAATACTTACTGTTCCTTATAGTTCATATGTATTCAGTCAATAAATAAATCGATAGGTATTCATTGCATGTCTTCTATATATTCACTGTTGTGTGCACGTGTGGTGGAAGATGAGCCAGGAAGACTAAGACATAGTTATGATTTAATTTGGAAGATGAGACTAATAACATGAAAAAATAATGAACAATAAGTGAAAATATGTGACAAATATGCAACAAATGGTAGGAACCATAATTATTTGAATATAGAAGTGGGAGAGATCCTATGGGGTGGGTAATTCACATAAGGTTTTATGAAGGAGGTGGAATTTAAACTAAGTGCATTTTTAATAGTCATAGAGGAGTGAGAAAGGGCTTTCTAGAAGAAGAGAAGTATGTGAGCCAAGGAGGGAATGTGTGATATCTATTTAGAGGATAGTGAGTAAAAGGATTTGGCTGAATCAGAGGGTCCTAGGATGCAATTTATGGTAAATAAAGCTGGACACTTAAGTTGAAGCCAGCTGGTGGAGAATATAAAGCATCAGATCAAAGAGTTTGGGTCACGTTATACTACCATGATTTCTGTGGGGGAAAACTGGACTCTGAGAAACCAGCTAGAAGTTATTGTAGTTATTCAGGTGTGAAATGATAAAATCTTGTCCTAGGGTGGTGACATTGGTGAAATTGGCAACATGACTTCTTAACAACCAATTGTTTCTCTGGATGATGGAGGCAAATGGCTTAAAGATTACACATCTGCATGTTTAGAATATAGCAATGCTTGCTATTTCTAGATCTACAGAAGAAGAATCCACTTTTGAGAAGATCTTGAACCAGCCTTTAGATATAAGTATTTTCATATAAAAATTAGACATATGGGAATATGGAAATGTCCATTGGAAATGAGGAATTGAAACCCAAGAAGTCAGGGCCGGAGATAAAGACTTTAGAGTCATGCAAATATTTCAGATAGTATTTAATATCACAGGACTATGAGATTTACTATTGAAAGTATATTTACTGAAGTAAGTACAAATCTGAGGCCAGGGCTCCTGGTGAGTAGGGAGAAAAATCAAATTCACTGAAAGAAAAAAGATTATAAGAAGAGAGAAAAAATGTAAACATCCAGAAGCAAAGAAAGAGAATTTCATAAAGGTGAGAATGGTCAACATAATTAAAAGTTCAACTAACTACACTTGAAAGAAAGCTGAGCAGATACATTGAACTTGGTAATTAGGAATTTACTGGTGATCCTCAGTTTATAACTCTGCCTTTTAGAGAATAGATACGTACCTCTTTCTAGCCATAAGTTTACCACTTCTTAGGCCTAGCATCCTTTTAGATGCTAAATATATGTGGAATTGAAATAATACATCTTTTCTGGTTGAAATTACTTCTTAATGGACCATCTCTTTCTCTCCTCCCAAGTCCTACTCATGAAGATCCAAATTTTGGCTGACGTTGTCTAGCCTCCTGAGCTATAGTGATATCTTCCTCCAGTGAACCTGTGGGGTTTTGGTCACTTTATTGCCACAGATCCTGGAATTGTCGAGGTCAGAAAGTGTTTTTGAAGAAATGAGGGAGTGAATAAGAGACAAACAGCACTTGGACTTTCTTTTCACATTTTTAGTTTGACACATTTTTGACACCTAGCCTGAAGTAACCAACCAGACATTTTCATCTCCCTTTATTCCAATCTCCCAAACTAGAAAGCCTTAGTTACATTTGACTATTGTCGAGGCTTCATGTCCTCTATTCAGCCAGTTCACATCTTTCCTATAACACTTTTCTAAATGTCCACATTCTCTTCTTAGAGTCCTTAATTGCTCCTAGTGCCTATAGGATGAAACCCACATTCTTCAGTCCTGTATTAAGTACCATCTATTTCATACCAACAATGCTCCATTCTCGTCAGACCAAATCCCTTGGTGGTATCAAAAACTTAGAGTCCTTAATTGCTCCTAGTGCCTATAGGATGAAACCCACATTCTTCAGTCCTGTATTAAGTACGATCTATTTCATACCAACAATGCTCCATTCTCGTCAGACCAAATCCCTTGGTGGTATCAAAAAAAAGAATCACATTTGTACCAACCTCTGAGTCTCTGTCCATGCTATCCCTTCAGACCCTAATTTCTTATCCCCTTTTCCTGTCATCTAAATTCTACCCACCCTTCTGTTCTCCCGGGCCAGCTCACATCCCATTTCCTTAATATGATTATCCTTAAACATCCCAAACCACATCAATCTCTTCCTGCTCTGCAATCTGGCAGCTCTAAGGTGCACACCACTAATTTTAGCAAGTTTAATTGTTCCTCTTTATATTGTTTGCACCTATTTCACCTAGCTAATTTCACGAAGACAAAAGATTTCTTCAGCTGAAAAATGGGGTAGATTATCATGGTATCTCCCTCATAGGATTGTCAAGATCATTAAATAAATAAGATATATATTGGCATTAGTAAATGACCAAAAATGTTTGCTTTAAGAAAAAGACTATTCCATTTACTTTAGAGTGCTCAGTACAACAGTGAACACACATGATAGACATTGACTAGTAGAATGAATGAATGAATGAATGAACAAATGAGCAAAGAAACAAATATTTGGTGGAGAAGAAATGGACTCTGATAAAAGAAGTCACAGTAGGGGAAAACATTCTCTGTAGAGGGGTTGAGTCAGTATCTTTAGAGAGTGAAACCAGGATTTAAGTCTGATTTAAGTCCCTGAAATCAACTTCTTAAAGGCAAAGAAAAACAGCATAGAGTATCACTACTTTATTTTGCAACTTGATTAGAGCACAGCCTTGTAATACCTGTAATACCAAGGTAAGGGTTCAGATCCCCGTACCGGCCAGCTGCCAAAAATTAATTAATTAACTAATTAACAGCATGGCAGAATTGATTTAT